AGAACATGCATAAGGCACGGGAAACCTGTAACATATTTACTTGATTTTAAGGTGAGCTTTTTTCCCTCATTTAACCTGGGGGGAAAAGCACCTCAACTTGGAATAAAGTACAAGACAGCCAGGGATGGGAGGCAGGGGGCAGATAGCTGCAGTTGCAGCTGCAGCTCCAGTGGCTGCCACTGGACTTGCCTGGGACTGTGCTCCATGCCCCAGACTGCAGTGAGGATGGCAGAAAGGGGAGACAAGGGGGCCTGAGGCTGCAGGAGTGGGGAAAGGCACACAGGCAGTAGGAAGCAGGCAGCAGGGAGTGCAAGTAGTGTGGGAACAGGCAAGAGAGGAAAAGCTGCTTGATCCCACTTGGCTCCACTGCTCCTCACCACCTACCCCTACTGCTACCCACACTGCCTGCCCCACCACCACCTGCCCCCTTACTGTCTCTCCCCCGGCCTCACCTAAATAAAAGTAGCTTTCTCCTTGGCTCCATCTGCTGGACAGCTCTGTCTCCCTCCTCAAGGCAAATGTAGCTGCGTCTGTGGCAAAGACCATGATTTCCTGCCATTCTTTCCAAATATGAGGACTAGAAACATCGCGCTTACTTTTTCATGGAAGCAGAGATTCCAAAGCCATCCCATGGCTCCAGCAGCTTGGGTCTTTACACGAACTATTGTGCCTATGTCTTAGTCTGGGCTGCCCAAAGGTTCACCTAAGTTCCACTGAATGGGCTTCACAAAGAAGGCCTACGGTTAGGCCTTGAACATGTGCAACACCTGCCATAGGTACATCCCATTCAACCTTCTCATGTGAGCAGGGTTTTATGAGCTAGAGCTCTGGATGTTGCCACTAACTGTTGTAAATGTGGAGGCAAATTAAGTCAATGCTTCCTCATGAAAAGGCTCTAAGCCAGCACATGATGGCACAGCATCCCTCTTGTCTTATGGGGTAAACTAGGCAATAAGACAGATATTCCCAGAGAGTGAAAGACTCAGACAGGAACAAAGTGGCCCTCACAGCCTCAAGAAGCTCACAGGAAATGGTCAGCTCTGGCTCCCATGAAGCAAACTTTCTGGGCAGCAAGTGTCCTCCAGCAACTACTGAAATCAAGGAGAGCTGGGAAAGAAGACAGGTGCCCCCAGGAAGCATGATGCCATCCCCCACCAAGATGGCACAAGAAAAGGAAACACCAAAAATCCTGCACCAAGCAAGCACTATCATGCTTACATGGGCATGGGGATACAGGGTCCAGCTGCTTGGATAAGGGGGCAAGGGAGACAATAAGTTCTGCTCAGCAGGAAATAGGGACTGAGCATAACCATAGCCCTGTGCTGAGGAGGGACCAAGTGCAAGGACAGCTGGTGGGGAAAGAGGAGATGCACCAAATATTTTGGCAGCTGTCTGATAACTATGATAAACTGCTTCTCTGTAACCATTCTCTCCAGGCAGCCATGTCCCTTACTATAAACTGATGCATCTGAATGCCCAGCACAATCCTTCCCATCAAACCTGCTTGTGCTGCTCCCTGCTGCACGTGATGGCCTGGCATTCCTCATACATCACCATACCTGACCTGGCCACATTACTCCACCTCCCCCTGCTGTAGACCAGGAGACCACAAGAGAACCACACAGAAATACTGAAATTTGCTGCCCCCTGTGGAGTGAAACAGAAGTTCAGGTGTAGTCGAGTCCCTCTTGTCAGCAGCCACGGTATGTGGCTCCTTCTGGAAGTGAGCCCTGTGACCATTAGTAATGGTTCCCACTGGTACCTTAAGAAAGTAAAAGCAGTACGTTTGATGGATACCCTGTTGCCAGCAAAGTCCTGAATCTAGGGCTACAAATGGGGAGGAACCAGGTATTTTTGCAACAGTTCTGCATTACTCACCAGCAGCATGTCACAGAATTGCTGGCCTGGCTCACCTTATCAGGGAAATCTCATCTTCCCATCACAAACTGCCATGCCCAAACAGACAGCAAGGCTGAAGAGGCATGGGAGGAATTATATTCAAGGCAATGGAACAAATGCAACAGCTGAAAAAGGAGGGGGGCAGGGGGAAATCACAGGGAAGGGACAGGCAGAAAAGGCTCATCCAGGAAAGGCTCATCGACTCTATTATATATGCACATTGCTGAATATTCTGTACTGGAGGTTTTCAAGAAGAGGCATTGTCTGGCTTGGTTTAGGAACAGTGAATCCAAAAGGAGACTGTGACCTGCCTTGAGTGCACCAGACCGCAGCACCTCTACCAGCTCCTCAGGAACTTCTTATTGAGGGTCTAACTGCATTTTTCCTCATACGCCCCACTAAGTCCCAGGACCTTCTGGCCAACCTCCTCCTGGCCCCAGCCAAACTCTCCATCTATCAGTTGAGAAAGGAGGCACTGGCCTGGAGAAACCCAGAAGATTGTTGGGCTGTTTTCCTTTCACTTATCCATGTACATCTCCAGGCAGAATTTCACTGGGTGGCTTCTGCAGACTGCTTAGATGTTTGATGGGCTCTAGCCAGTGTCATCTGCTTGGCGTCCCCCTTCAGAACCATAGTTACTAACCTTTGACCTGCACTTCTGTTCTTGGAACAAAGGATGAAAAACAGGAAAACAATTGTTATGCAGTTGGAAGCCTGCCTTTAACCCAGGGGTGGGCAAAATGCAGCTCACGGGCCAGATGCGGCCCACGAGGCCATTCTATCTGGCCCACAGGGTCTCTACAAAATTTAGAAAATAAATATTAATCTACCCCTGGCTGCCTGTCATGCAGCCCTCAATGACTTGCCAAAACTCAGTAAGTGGCCCTCCACCCGAAATAATTGCCCATCCCTGCTTTAACCACTAATAGAAGCTTATGGTTTCCTGGTGGGCCTAGGCCCACTATGCCTGTAAAATAAACACACCTGTATCTACACCAGGGAATGGATAAGATTATTATTAAGGTGCTCTTCAACCTTGATTCCTTAAGGAACAAGGGCACAAGCCTGAGATCAAAGAGAGGGGAGGTGGGGGGGCATGAATTTTCTTCAGGTACAACCCAGGCACCACGAGGACAGGTGAAAGAGGGAGGCAACCCATGAGGAGCAATCCTTCACATGCTCTGGGGCAGGATGAGGTGAAACGTAAGGTTCTTTGGCCAGGACTGGGCTTTGCTAACACTGTTTCTGGGCTCACCTAGGAGACTGAAGGGGAAGAGAAGCAACTGGGGTCCAGAGGAAGTGTTCTCAGCTAGGTGGGGATAGAGTGAAGGAAGAGCCCCATTTTGAAAAATAAAGCACACCATTCAAAAATAGAACACTTTATTGAAGGCAGATTCAGTAGGTCTGTCCTACCATGGCAGGAGTCCAGCCCCATTGAACATATCAGATACAATGCAGTAGAGGAGGTAACTCCAAAAGACACAGGATACAGTGCAGTGAGGCAAAGGAGTGGCCCCTGTAGAACATAGGATACAGTGCAACTGGAACTCCATGGGGCACCAAGGATATAATGCCCTAGGCTGAGAGGCTCCCACTGTGCTGTGATAGACTATCCAGGGGCCCAAAACAGGAGCCTTGAGCTGGCTGAGCTGGCCAGGCAACCTACATCAGAAGGTCCTCAAAGCCTTGCACCATTCACTCTCCCACAACCTCCAGGGCCAGCTACCAAGCTTCAAAGCAAGCCAGCAAGCAGCTCCCCCTCTGACACTTCTCCAAGAAGTAGGTCACGCAGCAGACAGCCCAACCTCAAACAGCAAGCACACAACCCCAACCCTAAAACACAGCAGAACACCCTTGTTGCCCAGCAGAGATCTAACTGCAGCCTTAACACACGCAGAAACACACCTGCTCCCCAGCAGAGAACCCCAGCTAAGTTTTTCTCCCCGGTCCCAAGAAAAAGCAGAAACATGCTTGCCGATCCCTGCTTTTCAGGCATGACTCACAGCAGAAAGCCCAGCCCCAGTACATAGAACAGACTCTACTGGCCCCAATCTCTGGCACATAGCAAATCCCCCTACTGGCCCAGGCTTCCAGCAATGACTTTCCTCTTCCCCCCACCTCCCACTTCATAGGCCCAGCAGTCACCAGTACCCCTATCCAGTCCCCAGTACAGATTCATCAGAGCCTCCCACTGTCAGTAGGGAATTCTGGCTCTGTTCATCTCTGCAGTAGCCTTGGCAGAGGTTACAGCAGCAGCTTCTGCAGCTTCAGAGCAAATGGCCTGGCACTTACACTGAAGGAGGCCCTGTTGCTCTCCGTGTCTACTAAAACAAAAGGCTCAACATTTAGGGAAGAGCAGCCTAGGAAAAAGAAAGAGCTCTTCTCCCTCTAAACTCTCCCCATGCTCCAAGATGCCACACAGTATGCAAGAAAAGCAGGTGTTATAGATTTGCTTTGCACAAGGATAGAAAGAGGCTCAGCCCCACCCCTGCCCAGAGCTGGCCCAGATGAAGGCTGCCTTTAGCATCACTGAACCCTGGCTGAGCACAGAAGACTCCCAGCCAGGGCAGGGCAGGAAACCGGCTGCCAAAAGCACTTGCAGGGGCCAGGCTGTACTCCTTTCTCCCCCATTACTTGGCCCTAAGCATACCAGCCCAAGTGGAGGGGACTGTCACTGCCCCTGATGCTCTCAAAGTAGGTCTCCAGCCCAGAGCTATTGAACTGTTTGGGCCAAGGGTTTCAGATCAAGTTCCTTGGGCCCTTCCTCACTGCTTTGTCCCTAACCAAGGGCATGCAGGATTCCTTCACATCAGTACAATGCAGTTGGATCCCAATTCCCCCTGTGTCTACTGCCATTCTGCTGAGGAGTCCAAGGGTTATCTACCAGAGACATCAACTCTCAGGTCAAATGACTTCAGTCCCTCCCCTTCTCTGACCCATAAATTTGATGCCATGGCTAGGGGCTTCACAAGTCCTCTGCCAGCCCCCCAGGCCATTCATGCAGAGTTAGGGTGGGTCTGTGCTTATTCCCACACCTCTGTCCAGATGGCACCCCTGTGCAGAGGAGGTGCAGCTACTGGGCTCAGGAAGAGCTCTCCTACCTGCTTGTTGGTATATTTCTGGGGATTGGTGCGGTAGCTGTAGTCTGAGTATTGTTCAGAGCCTGTTGAGTTATTGTCCCCAGTGCCAACAAAGGTGTTTGTAGCAGGCAGATCCTGTACCACTTGGTGTTTTTTGGAAGCAGATGGAGACTGAGGCTGCAGCTGGATGGAGGGCAGCGGTGAATTGGAGCGGTAGTGACGCCCCAGGTCTGGGCTCCCAGGTGGATAGTTGAGGGGTAGATGGATCCGGGGGCTGTCACTTACAGAGTCATTCATGAGGTTGAACTTGAGGGATTTTTGCAGCCCCGTCTCCTCTTCATCCTCTGCTGGCTTGGGTGGCTTGGGAGACTTGCTCTTCTTCACTTTGTTCTTGCTCTTGCTGCTCTTGTTACCCTGTTTAGGTGCATACAAGTCCTTGGTTTCTTTTTTGCCTGCTTGGTAGCCACTCTTGGCCTCCCGCTGCCGACAATAGCGCACAAGAATGACCAGCACAATGACAAGTGTTACAGCCACAATGCCAGCAATGACTCCAAAGAGGATGTTGCTGCGTTGCTTGCTGCGCTCATATTCAGGATCCCCAGCAATGTCTATGTCCAGGGGTGTGTCCAGGCTGTGCCCCACTAAGGTCTCCAGCACAGTGCGATTAGCTAGGGTCTCATTGACATAAAAGTGCACTAGTGCAGTTCCATGGCGTGAGGGCTTGCCCTTGTCATTGACACGCACAACTAGGCGGTGCAGGCCATGATGCTTACGCAAGATCTCTTTCTCCAGTGTGATATCCCCACTGCTAGGTGAAATCTGGAAGAGCTCAAAAGGGTTGCCCCCAGTAATGCTATAGATCAGCTCTGCATTGACCCCAGAATCAATGTCTTCAGCCTTGACCTTGCTGACTTGTTGCCCAGGGCTGGTGTGGGGCAGGATGTGTTTATAAGAGGCATTGGAAGGGGAGGTAATAAAAGGGGCATTGTCGTTCTCATCCAGTACATTGATGGTCACTCCCACATAGGCAGATCTGGGAGGGTCCCCTGCATCCACAGCCTTGAGCCGGAAGGTGTATGTGCTCTGTTGCTCCCGGTCAAAAGAAATACTGGAGAGGATGGTGCCAGTGCCATTCTGGATCACAAAGTCCCCATTGTCTTGTTCTACTGAAAGTTGGATGCGGGCATTGTCACCCTTGTCAGCATCAATCACCGTCACCATACCTACTGGGCTCAAAGGTGGCATGTTCTCCATCACTGAGAAGTTGTAGCCACTTAACATGAACTTGGGGTCATTGTCATTTTTGTCCATGACATTAATGGCCACAGATGCTGTACCCTTGAGGCTGGGGCTGCCCTTGTCAGCTGCCACCACCAGGAATTCATAGCGCTCCCTCTGCTCCCGGTCCAGCACCGTCTTCACTCGGATTTCACCAGAATCAGGATCAATAGAAAAAATACCCTTGGAGGAAGGATCCATCACCAACGAGTAAACAAGCTTGGCATTAGAGCCACTATCAGCATCACTGGCACTCACCTCCATCACTAGGTCATCAAGGTCATTGTTTTCAGGGAAGGCCACTTCAGTGAAGCTCTGGCTAAAGACAGGGGCATTGTCATTTACATCCACCACCTGCACTTTAAGGGAGTTAGTGCTGGAGAGAGGTGGGTTTCCTGAGTCCACAGCCACAATCTCAATGGTGTACTCCTTCACTGACTCATAGTCCAGTGGTGTGGTGGTTTGCAAGAAGTACTTCTTCTTGCTGTCACTGCCCGTCTCACTGGCCTGTCGCAGCTGGAATGGAACATCACCGGCAACCACACAGGTAACCACAGCATTTTCTCCTTCATCCCGGTCAGACACCTGCACCAGGGCCACAGCTGTCTCCACAGGTACATCCTCAGAAATGTTTGCCATGCCGTCCTGGTGGGTGACAAGACCAATGCCTCGGATCTCAATGGAGGGGGCATTATCATTCATATCCTTTATGGTCACCACTACCTGAGTACGGGCACTCTTAGGATTAGCCCCTTTATCCTTTGCCAGGACAGAGAACTTGAGGATGTTAACATCCTCCCGATCAATGGGCCCCTGTACAGTGATGAGGCCTGTGGCTCTATCCAGGCGTAGCAGGCGGCGTACCATGTCTGTGGCCTGGTGAAAGGAATAGTCAATTTCGGCATTGGCGCCCTGATCCGAGTCATTGGCTTTCACCTGCAAGTAGGAGGAAGAGAAGGTGAACAAGAGCGGAAAGGACTGAGCACCCCTAAGAGTCAGTACACTATTTGCATCAGCCTCCCCAGGAACCAAAGCAATAATTTTTTCTCTATAAATCAGGGAAGCCCAAAGAAGAACCAGTGCTTCCTCCTCCATGGACAGGACCCATGCAGCAAGAGCCTTGTGACTTGGCAGACTGTCCTTGGGGTGAGTCACATCCTGTCCATGCTATTCCTGTGAAACTGGCCTGACTAGTAAAACTCTTGTCACCCACTCCCTGCATGCTGACAGCCCTGCTCTGGTATGTAAAGAATCCTCCAGGTGAACCAGCTCAGTGATCCAGGAGCAGTTCTCTGACTCAACGACAGGGAAGAACTGCCAGAGACTAGAAAACCACCTACCTGGCTGGCTGCCAGGTAAGCAAGCCTCACCCTGCTGGGCCCTCCCATCACATGGGAACAATACACAGCCTGTCCCTGCACGCACCTTGGTTAGACTGGACTTAGCTTTGCAGACATACTCCAAAAAAAAAAAAATCTCATTACCCAGAGCTGGAGATACAAACAGAAGGCTATGCCAAGACCCACAGCAAACCCTTCTGGGTGCTGTTTCAAAGCAGAGAAATCATCCTACTGCCCTATTCTTAGCCCCCAGTTCATTCTGATCCAAAGCCAGCTCCAATTTGGGTCAGTTCAGGACAGGGAGCAGCATCTGATCTAGCGATTCCTGGGGAAGGTAGCAGGGGACTGAGAATAAGCAGTGAGGCATATCAATACAGCTGCAGGGAACCCTGGGCTAATATAGTGGGGTGGGGGAATTGGGTCAGGATTACAGAGTGGTAGGAGAGCTGGAATGCTGTGCAAGGATACTGGGGCTGGGATGGCAGAGAGGCTGTTGCAGAAGGCAAGGTAGATCTGCACCTTGTAGACTAACTAAATCAGAGATGCATAACATAAGCTTTCACAAGCAGGCTTGCATTATCAGATGCTGATGGGTTAGGATTGTGGAACAGCAGCAGAAATGAGGGTGAAGCCCAGGGCTGAAATACCAGAGGGAACTGCAGGCTGGAATTACAGGTCTTGGGGAGAAGGGGACAGACCCCTTCTCATACACTGCACAGCTCTCCCTACCCTTCCCTTTCCCAAACTGCTCACTTTCAGGAGCCCTGCATTCACCATAAACCCATTTCCATGTTCATTATTTGCTTTCTAAAGAATATAACATTTGTCTAACATTTGCTTTCCTAATCATCTCTCCAAGCAGCCTCTTCTCTGCACCATTTGCTGCTCTGCCTGTTATCTCACTCAGCAGATTTGGATAAAGAACGAAAGTTGTTAATGTAAATTCCACCTTTTACTACCACTCACAAAGAAGGCGGAAGTCATTTTCCCCCTGAAAGATAAAAGCTGAGCAATGGCAGCAGCAGCGCCTGGACCCATTCTCCTCCCAACTGCACCATGGCCTTATCTGTTTCCAGCTCGCATTCTCTTCACAGTGAAAAATGAACTCTTAAAATTCACATTGAAATTAGCAAGCGGACGAGTGCCAGCCATGCTCCACTTATTAAGATGGCAGCTGCAGATAAACAGATGTCAGCTACCATCAGCTCAGTGTCCCCTTCAAGCCATATACACAGAGATCCACCCCCTCATTCTCCTTCCATCCAGTCAAGAGGAAAACAGGATGCTATAGCTGGGCTCGAAATTCTCTCTGCAGAATCTGTGGAAAATAAGGCCTCTAGCTGCCACGGAGCTTGAAGCCTAGTGGTGGCACATACTGGGCAGGAATCCCAGGCACGCCAATAGAAGAGGCTAAGCAGTGTCATGGGCAGGGATCCTGGTTTTCTCTGCTTAAAAATCTAAAATTCTGATTAAAACCCCAGAATCCACATTTTTCTGCAATTAAAATGAAATGCCACAATATATATAGGTATCAGTTGAACACAAAGTTTTATAGATATGTTTACAATTTTAAAGCAATTTGGAAGCCTACTAGTGCCTCAATCATTATAATAAAATACATTCTAGATGCCTATATATTTTGGTGTTTGATTCTGGGGGCGGGGTTTATTACAGAAAATCAGAGCTTCCCCTGCCCCTTCACTCCCCAGGACTCGGGTCCAGCTGTGGCTGTCCCCCACACTGCTTTGTGGTGCTGAGCAGCCCTGGTATGTCAGTAGCCTGCCTCTGCCCTTGCCTTTGCCCCTCACTCCCAACCTACAGGCCCCTGGCCCTGCTAGTGCCCCTCCCTCCCAACCCAATCCCCTTACCTCCCCCCCAGTCCTGCTGATGCTCCTCACTCCTGACCCACAGCCCCCTGGACCCCCAAGTCCTGTTGGTGCCCCTCACCCCCAACCTGCTGCCCCCCACCCAGTGTGTGAGGAGGGGGCCGAGTTTGGGGAATGGGATGGGTGTGTTGGGAAGGGGCGGGGTATAGGTGACCTGTGGGGGGGGGGGACAGTCACATGCCTCTCTAGATTTCTGCATCCACAGCAAGGCATGAGGTGCAGAGCTGTAGCCTAGCCAGACCAGCTCGGGGCAGAAGCTGCATCTGCAGCCCAGAAGATGGGACCCAGAATGGGAGGAAGCACCACACTGCCATGGCCAGCAGCAGAGGGGGGCACAACTCCATGTCTCCACCACCACTCCTCACCTTAGCAAACATGGTGATGTGGTGCTACTTCCTGTGCCAGGTCTTGCTTGCAGGGGCTACACACATGCACATGGTAACCCCTGCTCCCTGTGTCCCACTCCCCCCCAATCCCAAGCAGCCCCTCATAAGCTGGAACTCTGCCAGCCTGAAAAGAGAAACCTTTAAAAGAGAATATCCATGTTTTGCCGCATTTTTCCCCATGGCAAATGGAAAGCCTGGGTCATGGGTCCCAGCTAAGCACAAGTTTCCTTGCAGCAGCCAAAGGGGCTGGCTACTGAAGGAAAGTCTAATTTCCCACCCAGAGCTACCATTAACACAGAGACATTCAATAAGCTTTGTATATGCAGCTGTAGCAATGACTCTCAGCCCTGACCCACACTCCCCACTCTCAGCCCTGGGCTCCACACAGACTCTGCTGACACTCTGCAACCTCAATCTCGATCTCTCCCTGCCACCTCAGCCCTGGGCTGGACACACAACACAGGACTGACAATGCATTTCAACCTCTCCCTCACAACCTAGACATACAACACAGGTCTATCAATGTCACTCAATACAAAACCAGCTCTTTATATTTTTTCAGGTCCTAAACTAGAAGATTGCAATCACTGATTAAAGGGAAGCTACCCATTTGCTGGCATCAGAGTTTTACCCTGGTACTCCCTGTGCACTTACCTGAAGGACAGAATGCCCAACAGGACTGTTTTCTGAGAGCTCTGCTTCATACAAGGCCTTTTCAAACTTGGGTGCATTGTCATTCATGTCCAGGATAGTGATGCGCAGAAGGGCACTGCTTGCCCGTGGAGGGTTTCCCCCATCTTGCACTTTGATGGTCAGGTCATAAGAGTCCCACTGCTCCCGATCCAGGTTCCCCATGACAATTAGCTGTGGCTGCTTCTCATCCTGATCCTCAGCCACTTGTAGCCCAAAGAGCTCCTGTGCTTCAGGCCCTGCCATGAGCTCATAGGAGGCCACACCATTGGGGCCTGAGTCACGGTCCATGGCCAGTGAGATGGGAAAGAGAGCCCCAATGTTGGTGTTCTCCGGGATGGCCAGTGTGATAACAGGTGAGACAAAGTTTGGTGTGTTGTCATTGATATCCAGTACCTCAATCTGACCCTCTAGAAGGCGTGGACTGCTGTTCATTATCAGATCTGTGATGGACACCTCAAACTCCAGGAAGCAAGGATCCCCTGGGAACTGATGCTGGCACTCACGTAGGCTCTCCCGGTCTATGGAAGTTTCAGTGGTGTAAATGTCCCCCGTTTTGCCATCCACACGCAGATAGGGGGCCCCCACTTCCAGCTTATAGAGATGCCCCACATCTGGAAAGCCATAGTCAGCAGCCAGGCTCCCGATGAGTGTGTTCGGGGGTTGCTCCTCCTGTACCTTGTAGACCACACGTGTCCCAGAACTTGAGGCAGGGAACTGGAGGAGGACCCATAGGCCAAGGCATGACGCCAGCTGCTTCATTCTGCACCACAGGGGGACTGCAAGGAAGCACAGACACCAGAGATTAGGGACTCCACATACCATTCCTTAGAACTGCTCCCCACACCCTGCCCCACCTCACTGCTGCACTGTGTCCAGCCAGGCTGGCAAGTCACTAATCCACCCGTACTCTCAGGAGTGGCCCAAAGCCTTTGGCTCAGGGCATCTGGGCCATTACCCATAGAATGTACAGCCCCTGCCTCCACAGCTCACCCTTGACAAGCTGGTCACAAGAGCCATCTTTTAGCAGCCTCCTGGAAACAGGTGTCCAGGAGAACTGATCTCAGCTTGCAAACATTCTTGCTACGCCCTGCCTAAATAAGCACCATGGCCATCAAAACCCAGCCCAGTGCTCTCGTCACTGACAGGAACCTGCTACTGACACTGTCCACCACATTAGTCATTGTACAAGCTGTTGTTATGCCCAGCTAGACATACAAACAAGACGGGAAGAAGAAAGAAATTCACCCACACCACTGCATTCGAGCCAGCTAGAGGAACAGGCTCACATTGCAGATAGACACAGTGAACTATTTTATTGCAGAGACAAATACTGCACACCTCTGCCCAAAGACAGAAACACTGCCCCTTCAAAAACACTTTAAAGACAGAGATATTACAGAGACACCTCTTGCACTAGCCACAAAGAAATGCATCACATAGATCCACACTACAAACAGAAACACTGTATACCAAGAAACTGTAGAAGCTCCACACTCCAGTGATTGAGACACTGCACATCCTCCTGCAGCGTAAAGACACAAACATGGAATGCAACCCATATGGCAAAGACACAGGAGAGAAAGACACTGCACACACCCTGCACTGCATAAAGAGAGATCCTATACTTGCGTATACAAAGTGGTTCTCAACCTTGTTAGGGGAAGCACATGCCCTCCTCCCCCCCCACCCCATTAGGTAAAAGGCACCCCTTTGGTAGTGCCAGCTCATTTTCACTCATTGTTTGACTACAAAAAGTAACAGAGCAATCTTGTCGCAGAAAAACCAGGAAGACCACAACAGAGCAGAATGGTTCTAGCACTACGGAGTCCTATTTGAAATCTCTGGGTTTATCTCATGAATCATGTTTGCACACCTAACACTGTATTCCCCCCGCCCCAGCACCCTCAAAATAGTCTCAAGGTACCCTACGGTGCTGCAGTACCCTGGTGCTGCAGAATCACTGGCATGTGCACATGCACATTAACACTGCATATACACTGCATACTTTGTGCCCCAATTCTGCGGAAAGGGACACTGCCGATCCCAATGCTTGCAGAGAGCCAGTTGAAAAGACACTGCATATGTCCACACTAAAGAGATAAAGCAAAACACTTTGCAGAGACACTGCACTTCAGAGACAGTGACAGAGACACCCCTTCAGACTGCACAGATAAACTGCATCCTTCTCACGCTGCAGCCACATGCAGAAAAACTGCGTACACACAGAACCACTGTAGAAATTGAGGCACTGTCAACACACACTGCAGAGACAGAGATATTGCACACATACTCTCACTGAAGAAACACTGCTTATCACCTGTACACGCTGCTCACCCCTCTGCATTGCAGAGAAACACTGCAAGATGCATCCTCTGCAGAGAAATCTGCATGCATCTCTTATGTGCCCTCCCCACCTCTCCCCAAATGCCCATAAAACAAAAGAACTAGGTCTGGCCCTACAACTCTTCAGTAAACAAAACAAAAGACCAGACCCTGCCCGGCATGCAGTCAGAGTTGGTGCCTATGGTATCTCCTACCCTAGCCCATACGAGCGCTACCCGTGGATGCCCCAGCTGGCCCTTGGAGTGGAAGCATCGACTGCTGTATGGGTCCGTGCATGCATAGGATGAGCTGTGTGGATTTGTCCCTCTGTTCTCACTGGGGCTTGTCCACGAGTACAGTCTGGCTTCGTGGCAATGGGCCGAGAATTAGGGTCCCCAAGGAAACACCTCCCCCTGCCTCATGCATACACAGCAAGGGGGTACCTTGGAGCTTTTCTTTTCTGTGCCTTGTCTCTACAGCTAACAAAACTGCTTAACCAGCAATGCAAACAACAGAAATGCTGCAGCTCCAGTGCTGGGGGTGTGGCAGATGGGTACCACCTTCTCTCTCAGTGGAACTGAAATGACCATGCTGCTACTCTTCCCACTGGAATGGTCTGCCTCTGTCAACCCAGTTCTTCAGGCCTTCAAGGCATAAACAATCATCTCTGCAACACACAAAGATATCCCTCTGCAATGCTTGTATCATACACACGAACACAGACGGCAAGCCACCTAGTCCCCTCGTCCTCCCACATGACAAATCTGGCCCTTCCATATATAAACCTCTCCCATTGCACCCCGACACAGTTAGCTATGCACATCACAGGGCAACCTCCACACTACCAGATCCACACATAGCAGGATCCAGAGAATTGAGTCCTCTCACAGTGCATAGAAGCCCTCATGTCATCCTTCCCTGCAAAGAATGACCTCATAGCACCTAGCAAGCCTCCAAGCCATCCCTGTACCCTCCACAGTTCTAACACTGCATATCCCCAGACACTTTGAAACGCCAAGCAAATAAGAAACCCTCTGAGTCCCTTCTCTGCCATCACATTACAACACAAAGTACCCACTCATTTACCCTTGCCACTCTGGCACTTGATGGGCCTCAGACTCCTGTTTTATTCCCAATAAATGAACAAGGCAATAAACAGCAGCAGGGGGAACCAGGTTCTGCAGATACTGTCTTGAAACTCACAAGTACATTCCTTAAGCTCTTGGCTCTGAGGCCAGGTCACAGGACCCTTTTGTCAAAAGGCAGCCCCATCCACCCCTTCTTCATTGCCAGAGGGGCAAACTTCTTCCAGCTGCACAAGTAAAACCCATGGGGCACCTTCTGCTGCCCTACTCCTGAAGCCATGCCCATGGCTCCACAGCCCAACTCTCACCTTCCCTTGTGTCCCTGGATCCAAACTTCTCCCAGAGTTCAGCCTAACTTTGCTCAATGCTTTTCACACAGGGCTGAGAAATTACCTACTACTCTGAAACACTGCTAAGAGAAGAGAGCTGGGCAGCATGAAGTGTGAGGTACCAGAGACTGTAGTGACAAACAGCTTAGGAGTTTCATATGCACAAGGCAGATATATTTGTCCTAGCGAGGTGTCATAGGGGAAAAAAAAATCCCTCCTAGCAATAAGGAACACAAAGGTCCAACCCTGCTATGCCTGCAGCAAGCCTCTAAAAGGCAAATGCACAGGGAACAAAGGCAAATGAAGCAGCACCCCCCGGCAAAAAATAAAGGCACGTAGACACTGCTCACAGACATGGAGAGAAAAAAAGAGGCTGGAGGCAGTCCAAGAGTACATGCACCTGAACCACAAGTAGGCACGTATGCCTTGACTATAAGCATGGGTGCCTATTTCACTATCACCCTATTGCTTAGTATTATTTTAGAAAATGGCCATATTAGGTACAAATAGACAGACACCATATAATCAGTGGTAATGGGAGATTAAAACAGACAGTTTCCATGAATTGGTAGGGAGTGATTCACTTTCCTGGTAAGGCCCTTTCAGCTACAGTCAAACCAGAACAAGGAAATCCTGCTGCAGGGTTGTTTGCTCACCTGTATTTACTTTAGGCTTGGGTGTGTCAATGACCCTGTACTGTTTCTTACTAATACTCAGAAAGCTGAGGCTCATGGGCAAAGGTGAAAGTCCTGGGCCTAGTGGCACCTGTCCCTGGGCCTAGTGGCAGCCCTGAACTAACTACAATATGGTCTTTAAGGGGCAGATTCTCAGGAGAGTTAAAGCTCCCATTCACGAACCTAAAGGAATTACAGAGCTATGGTGTGCTCACCATCCACAGCACCCACTGTAGCACTGGTCCTCAAGCGTAAGGTAAGACTTCTCTGTACCAGAGAAGTCAAAAGACTAGACGGAGACCCTGGAACAAACCTGGAAATGCTCCAAAAACCATCACAAACCTACTCTAAGTGCCAGAAGCACTCCTCTCACCTGCCTTTGCTAACAGAAGCATAAAGCAACATAGCCACTGAAAGAAAAAGAAAAAACAAACTCTTCCAATACAAAACTACTCCACTACACACAATTCTCCCCATGGAAAGATGATGAGAATGAGCCCTGTGTAAGAGATGGTAATGTCATTACTTACTGCATGACTAAAAGGCTCTTGGATACTGTCATAATGTATATGCTATAAAAACCTGTAGAGTTGCAGCCAAATAAGGTTATAGGAATATTAAGAATGTAAAGTCGAGAGTTAGGCCATACCTTGATGCAGCTGCCTTTGCAGCCTTAATTTAGCCCCCTTCTATATGCACCTAAAATTACAGCCTTTAATTACAATCATACTACTTTTCCCCTGGACCAGTCTACCCCAGTGTACAGGATAAGACTGTACTCACCAAATGGGCAGCTATTCATTACTTATTTCCATCCCCATCACTGAACGTGTGGCTCCACATCTTATTTATGGCCACCATCCAAACCATGTACTGAATACAGAAGTATTTAATTTTCTCATGAGCTTCATCCTGAGTTCATCTCTGTATGAAGTTCATCTCTGCAGAAATAACTGAGTGCTTCACAAATGTTAATGAATGCTGTAAAATGAAGTAGCACAGTTTTCCTATTCTATACATGGAGAATTTTATCACAGAAAGATTAAAGGCAAAATTATCAAAAATATCCACTGATTGTTATGTCCAATTTGAGACACCTAGGGCTTAATTTTTCAGACTACTGAGCATTGCATAGCACATCATATGTTTAAAGCACAGCTCCCATGGACTTCAAGTCAGAATGTACAGAAGTTTGGCCTCAGGAGTCTCAAGTTGGTTACTCAGAAGATAAAGAAAGCCCAGTCATCACCTGAGAAATGTTTGGTTTAACCATGCACCACATGGGCATTGTGGAGAGAAAACAAGAGTCCAGATCACTATGGCAACATTCAAGCACCTTAACCAAGAAGCCATTCTTTCTCTCGCTGAAGTCCTATGACTTACTACACACCTTCCCCATTCTGCAATGACTGAGGCAGGGGTCCTATAGACAGTCGCCTATGCTACACAACCCTGATTTACAGAGTAGGTACTCATGCAATTAAAAAGTTACCATATATAAAACTATTGCATCAAAATTCAAGGGCTACCTTATGTCAGGCATTGTCTAACTTTTAAATGATCAATCTTAGAATCTTGAGGAATATTAATTTCTTTCTCTGTTATTTTTTAAGCCAAAATAAAAACAAAGAAAAAATAATGTAGAAACATTCTGCTTCTCCGACACACGTCGTCAGCATGGATGGAATTTTCAGAATCCACTATACAAGCGTTCTGCTCTGTAAGACGGGAATTATCCGGCAGCAATAGACGGCTGTTCTTCTCCATATACAGGAGCCCGGATTGCACTGTCATTATTAGGTGTTACCAACATACTTCTCTAGTCGGTTTCAGAAGGATAGCTAAACAGCATTGCGGAGACCTAGGAGACCTGACTTCACTCATTACAGACCCTTCTCCTATTTCTCTCACACAGGTGCAAACACACACCTTCCTGCCCTGTCCCCTCCCCCTTCCTGCTCTTATCCTCCAACCCTGACTGTAATCTATTAGAAAGCAGGGAAGATTTGCACCTTGCAGACTAACCAGAGTGGACAGATAGCTAGCACAAGCTTTTGTGAGCTTAAGCTTACTTTATCAGATGCTGTGAAAGGACACGCAACAGGCAGTGTATTAGGATAGAGAAATTGTTTTCTGTCTTTCCTTCACTCCTCTCATTCCTAGCTCCTGTCTCTCTCTCCCCCTTCTCTGTCTTCTGCCTCCCTACTCTGTTCCTGCCCATTTTTCTTCCTTGGCTCCTTCCTATACTGCCTAACATCTTCCCATTCTTGCCGCCCCTTCCTTTCTTCCATTAAAGCCAGGATGTTCCCCTCCCCCTCAAAACTGCCAGGGTACCACCAGAGGGAATGGAAGGACAGACTTCCCCCTCTCAGTTTCAGTGTCCAACTCTGCAACAGCTCCTGACAAAAGGAGCAGCAAGCAGCAACTGCTGACAGAGCCCTGCTCAGTCCCTCAACCTGTGCCTGGAGGCTGCAGCATGGTGACACACGGGATCTGCTTGGGAATGGAGCATGCTCAGTGCAGATGTAATCTGCCAATTTAGCTGTTTAACTAGACAGACACATGTCAAAAGACTGGCAAAAGTCATCTGCATGACATCACCATGAACCCTTCTGCTAAATCTCCAGCCCCTTCTCCAGAGCACTGAAACACCAGGGCTTCTCAGTAAAATGGTAACAAGGGATTAAACATGGGCAAAATAGCCTATCTTCCCCTAGCTTCATTCTCAGAAATGGCTGAGATACTCCAAAAATGTCAGCAGAAGGCAGATGCCTGGTGTGCAAATTGCAGACCAACAGCATGAGTTTGGTGAAGTCCCAAGCAGTGGAAAGCAGGGTCTCCTAATGAGAGAAGCTGGGCAACCTCGGCTGCAAATAGTTACCGACAGCCTGCAACTAGGCAGGCAAAATGACACAAGATATGCAGGAGGCAGCTCGTGGCTCCTAGGTGCAAACGTCTGAGCTAAGGTAACACCTCCAGGCGAGCCCTGACGTTTCCTAGGCGGAAAGGGGGGGTGCAAGAGGTGGGGAGC